TTATATACCAACATTTAATTAATGAATTAAGTTTCTTACCTTATTTCCTAGTAGCTTGCCTAACGAGTGAATAATAGTTTTAATAGTTCGGAGCGGAGTGTCAATTTCCCGTTCTTTCCACATTTGCACTGGGAAAGCTTTTAAAAACAAGTGTAGATTTAACAGCACCCTATCAAGGTTTAGCTCAGTCACAACATTTGGAAGCATTCGTACCATTTTCCATAAACACTGGAAATAAACATTTGATCTGTGAAACCTAACAAGACAAGGCTAGGAATGTTTCAATCAATCAATTGCAAAACTGTAGTTATATTAGAACGGTATTTTAGTTGCCTAACACATCGTTCTGAACATGCTTTTCATTATGCAAGCTGTGGTTTTTCTGTGTTTTGATACAGACCTGTGTTTAGATATAGGCGATCCTCGGGTATTTTTGGTTCAAAAGAAAAGCACAAGAATTTTTTAAAAAAAATTATGCAAAACAATGCCAAAAACATGGTTGCCATCTGCAGTACAGGCTCTTGAACTTCAAAGTTTTCTAAATCTTCAAAATGCAATCAGTGTGGATACTTTTTTAAAATAATGTCAATTGAGACGATTTTACATGTACCAATTTTATCACTAACAAGACACACGAATGAATTTTGCAAAACTAAATACAAGTGTGAATTTTAACCAATGCTTGGAGATCTATCCTCGGCTCCATGGTTGCAAATAGAACGTTTCAGATGATGTATCACATTTGAACATTGTGTTTGGTGCTTTTAAGGTATTTATGTATTTCAATTATCTTTAAAATGAAATGGCGAGTATACCACTCAATTTTGATCAGTTCACCCCATATAAATACTCGCTATCGATCCTGTGTACCGGTATGTCATGAAACTAGTCAAAAATCTCATGGTATACTTGTCTCTGTTCAGTATAACAAACACTGAATACAACTGCCATTTATACATGCAATAAGCTAATAATGTGTATTTTTTATATAACAACTAGACTCCAATTGCAGTAAGTTAAATACATGACAACATATTCTACTCTATATAGATACCACATGTCATATACATGGAGTTAATATGTTTCATACAATTAAAGCGTGGTAGTCATCAACTACCACGCTTTAAGTATTTTCCACCTAATCATGACATTACCTTCATAACTAGTTCTGTAAATTTCGGCGTTGTGCTTTCAATAGCCACACAGTCTTGTAAAAGTTTAATCAAAGCACTGCACAAAAAAATAAGAGAAAGGAAACAAGAGATATCAACCAAGTGTACAATGAACACGTATGTATTTTTCACAAACTTAAAAAAAAACTTCCATACATGCATGCATTGAGAAGAATTCAGTTTATTCACATTACAAGTTTTATGTAAATATGGGTGGGACGCAGAAAACTCACTGGGCCCAGTAAAGCACAGACATGAGCCACTGCAGCTTAAGACATAACACATCGCTTGGCTAATAGTAATTAAAATAAAAAGCAACTCACCAAAGGACGTTGTTAGAATCAGATTTCTCAACTATTTTTACTACAAGAACATTAACAGAGCGAACAACTTGAGGTCCATCGGGTATTTCTGTTAGTCTGTCATCCAATAATACTGTTATCAAGCCATGTAGGAGATCTTTTAACACATCCCTGGATATCCGTTTTGCTAACACGTTATTCTGAAATAACTGAATAAAAACTATCCTTGATTACAAACAGTAAGGTACGGTATTGTCAACAAGTTTGAGGGACATTTCAAAAGTAGTTTCTTATATTCAGTAATGTTATGTTGACGATGTATTTTCCCACTCGCTGAAGAAACCACAAATTGACATAGTGTTATGTTGGACAATGACAAGTGTTAGTAAAAGACTTACAGACATAAGACAAGCAGCCAGACATCTGTACAACTTTGTAACATTTTCTTTTGAGCTGTCATCCTCTCCCATATATTTGGTAAAAGCTAGCCGAAGTTGAAGTACACTAACAACTAGTAAATTATCAACATGATTACATAATGCTTCAGACTTCTCTTCATCTTTGAGAACTTCATCAAGCTATGAAAAAAATAAGGAAAGCAGTATTAGTTATCTAATTAATTTGTAACTAAATTAAATGATGAGATTGGTTGATACAAAGGTGGAATAACTGTTAATAGCAAGGTACATAATGGTCTGTAATTCTTGCATCATTTTTGTTGACTTGTTAAAAATTGTATCTTCTGTATTCTGTTTAATTTGAAAATCATTCAAATTTATAACAGAAAAAAATGAGGGTTGTTTCACAAAGTGATGTCCAATGTTCCCCTCTGAGCAAATTTGACACAGGTACAAAATACATGAAATTAGAATGAATTTTTCTCTTAGTTACCTAAGCATAAATCTGACAGGTTAGAAGGAACACACTAAGTGTAATGGTGATATTGAGTAAACATATAGTTACATGTATCTTACCTGAGCTAATGCCTGTATACTTATATTAATATCATTGCTTGCTACTTGTGAGATGACTAAATCTAATGCTGATGCTGCACTACTACTTGTAGCCAGTCTTGATAAGGATGGAGAGGCAGCTCTCATTCTAGACAAAATATTAATTAACAGATTGAAAGGCATATACAAACCTGCACATGTCGGTTTAAGGTTGAATATTCACATATTGGCTTGAACACACTACCTTGGGTTTTACATAACCATCAAGATACAACAGAGTAGTGTGTCCAGTGAGACAGAGACACATGCAAAATGCAAGTTATCAATAACAGTCTTTGTGTTATCTTATTAATGTCTCATTTTGGTTGCAGTGCTATCTCAATTCTTGTACTTCAAAGACATTATTGTAGAAAGTGTCAACGTGCATGGCAAACATTTCCAGTCAAGAAACAAAATGAAATTATCTGTTATTTGTGTCACTTACTTTGGTTCTGGTAAAATAACAGGACGGTTCAAGATATCATCTACTTCATTGTCCACGAGCTGTGGCATTTCCCGCGTGTCATCTTGGTCTGCATCAAGTTTGTCCAAATCTAGTGCAAACTCTCGATGCACTGGTGCTGTTCGAGGCCTTTGTTGGGGATTTGGTCCAGCTGATGGATTTCTAAACAGGCAAGGTTTTATAAATAAATAAATCTATAAATTACACTGAAAAATAAAATTTGTTTACATCACAGACATTCAATAAAAATAAAACAGCAGCCGATTAATATGCTGGTCTGCTGAAACGAATAAAAATAAAAATAAAAGCACAACAATAATTACAATAAAAAAAAAATAAGCTGTAAAGTTTAAGCGACCCAAAATAATATTTAAAATTATTTAATTTACCAAGACTTGTTCAAATATGTTTATATACAATATCATGTTTGTTTCAAAATTTTGTATTATTTTTAATAATAATGTTTATCACAATGAATACTTGTATAACAACAGTTTGGTTCATGTAAAATCCCCACTACGGTCATTGAGATTTGTCATACTTTGGGTCTCTAGAACTTGCAAAACAAAGTTAAAACAATAATTGAACTGTACACACAATTACATTGCTGCCAACCAATGGTTTGTATATGAACCTGTTAAGCCATGATTACCTATCAATATTGAACCATAACAGTCAAGGCCCACTTGTAAGTTTATTAGCACACCATATACAAGTCTTAATTTGCATGAATGCACAATTTATTTGCTCTCTGAGTAATGCATTTGTTTACATTAAATGAATAATTTTCTTGGTTATGTTCAAAATAATTGCAAATAAACTAGAGAAAATTTGGTAATGGTTATAAATAAATTTTGTTAATATTATTGGATTTTTTCTAGGCTTAATCCACTTATTTGCGATGTGAATAATTTTGGAATTGGTTAGCATAGGGAGTCTGACATTGAGGTGCCTCATAATCAACTTGAACTGAACACTATTGCATCAGTGGAACTGTCTATGGTTTGTATGTTAATGGTTTAGCTGTCTGATAATGAAACTTATATTGACTAACAGTTGTAATTTGAGTAGTGTAATTACCAAATGTCAAAATGTAATAAACATTATCGCTTTCAAACCAAAACCGACGAAAAATTGTCTTGCAAACCATGAACAATTTCCCTGTTGAAACATATTTGGCTTCAGTTGAACACCATTTAAAACATGCTAGATTTCTCCCAAAGACTGTTGTATGTTGTGCAAGTGCAGGAACCGAGCATAACACGCAGACACTTATAGCGAAATAAAGGACACACACACACACACACACACACAAAACAAGCACTATAAACTACTATACATGTAGTCTAACCACTACAAGATGCAGTGTTAACCAACCTGAACTGGTCCCGCCATCCAGGCCTAATTATTATATATATATATATATATATATATGTGGTAAGTTGTCATATGTGGAAATGAGAAAAATTACATGATATCATATTAGTGTGCATTACGTTAACATGCAAGAAGATATACTGTAAAACATGCTGTAATAGCAGGCTGCATGCCACAGTGCCGAAAAAAAACCTTTTGTAGAATACACAGTTTGCTGAAATAAATTAGCTGAACAGACATGTTTTAAAGTATACGAACATACAAGATGCAATTAATTGTGGTCAGGATTTACTGATTGCATGCCATAACTATAACACATCAGACTACAGTGACGACTGTGAGCATGCTAAATAGTGCATTTCACAAAGTATGTGGAGTTCATGGATTGTATGTAACACAAGTAAAGTGAGGGATAGAGAATGATTAAAATACATAGGGAAATTACGCAAACCTTGAAGACAGAGGAATGCATACCATATATAATATTTATTATATATAACATAAATATGAACTCTGTAATATGAAATGGGTTATGATACAGGTCCTACACAATGTGTACAATGAAATTTTAAGTGCTACACAAAGTATACAACTATGTAAAATACATTGATATTAAGGTAGACCCCTTCATAATTTTTGAGAAAAAAAATTCGCATGATACTGTCTTATTGGTCTATTATTTAAAATCATAAAGCTATTGCGTGTTACAGTGACTATTTTGCAAAACTTGTCCTAATATTCTTTAAAAATTGCTGTTTTTAAAACAATTCCATGGAGCACAATATTAAAGAAAAATTGCATTTTTTGATATTTTTTAAAACCCAATTTTTTTGAATAATTTAGAACAAGTACCCCATCATTCACAACATACAATTTTTTCAACCTTTGTCACCAGAATACAATTTGAGATATGGCATAATATCTCTGCCACAGGAACCTATAGTAAAAGCGTTATACCGGTAATAATAATGTCAAAATGTCAACTATCCAGTAAAATACAACCATAATTTTCTTGAAATCTAAGCTGGTGACCCCAACATTTTTTAACTCAATATTCTTATAATGCCCGGAAGTACAATTTATTGGGAAATGAATGAATTCAGGTATTTGCATTCATGAGTAGGCTTCTATCTTAATGACTGCGAGACTCAA